TGGCTGTCGCTTCATCGAGATCGAGGAAGAGGACCAGGTCAGGCCGAGGGAGCCCGATGTCAGGTGCGCGCGCCCAATGCAGTGACAGGGAGGGGTTATGCTTGGCGGCCGAATAGACGATGCCTGAATGATAGTAACGGTCACACAAGATCGTGGTGCCGGAAGCGAGCAATTGACGAATAGTTTTCCTGTCAATATTAGTGATGTGGTGTCTTCGAGAACTGTCATGACCGCTCACACAGCCTCCCAGCGATTGGCGCTGAAAAGAAGATGAATAACGTGGTCGTCCATCTCGACGGAGCTCTTCAGGTAAGCATCAATCATCTGGCCGATGGGCGTCGAGCGGTCTATCAATCATCAGCAAGGGCTCGTAAGTATCTCAAAGGTGACGAGGATCAGGGACAGCCAAATCGTGTCGCGTGAGCCCGTTGATGGTCCATCTTACCCGGAAACCTCATGACCTTCACCTTCTTGCCTAGCTCGACGAAACGCTGCTCTAGCAATTTCACCTGTGTCGTCTTGCCGCTGCGATCCAAGCCCTCGAGGATGACCAACGCTCCGCGGGTGATGGCCGACTCGGGAGCCACGAGTTGTTCGTCATCCATACCGATACTTAGGGCTGTGGCCTCTTTTTCGGGGCTGACAGCGGCTTTGGAGGCAACTGCCTCGGTGGATGTCGCAATCGCAGCTATGGCTAGGTCGTTGATAGATGCCATTTGGCTGCTGGTGTGCGAGTAATGCAATTGGATGCAGGATGAGAGGCTCTAGATTGAGCGTATGACAATCCCACGGCCTTGTGCAACGTGCGGTCCGCAGAGGTGGGGTCGCGTCCAGTAGACATGAAGAATTAGGTACGCTAATATCATAGGTACGTTTTCAATGATCCTCACACTCTCCTTAAGAGCAATACTACTTAGAGTGCAAATCGTCATTAATTAACCAATGCTTCCTTCACAGCGTTAAAATGCCTACAGATGAGATACTATAGAAAGGACAGCTCTCTTCTACTTGCAAGCAATTTCCGCTACTGACTATTTGTATGGCGAGATCGTTGTCACTCGATGTAGATACTGTGCAGCTTACAAATGGAGAGAAGGGGCCCTGGCAAGAAGAGGTCTTCAGCGTTTACTCAGTCGAAGAGTCCCAGTCACCCGAAGACATTAAGAGCAATTGCGAATGCTAGTCAAGAGATAAGCCCCTGCAGACCGAGACGCTGGCAAGCAGGTGACAGAAGAAAGCCGTGCTCCAAATCCGCCTAACACAGGTATCATAAACATGGGTTCTCCCAACTTCAGAACCCTCTCAACACCTCGTGTCTCAACGAATGCTCTGAAGTTCTACTTAACTAGAGAAACGGCGATATTTTCAATGATATGTCTAATTTTAGTAATCTTGAGTTGATGTATTATAGTATGACGGTTTAAAGCACACTCACTTTCTAGGAGTATAACGTCTTTTGTCACACCCTTGACTGGACACAGAGGAATATGGACAGTTTCGCAGATTTCGTAGGTCCCGACTTCAGACGTTTTCACCACCATACCTCACAAACGACGACCGTACGGGTGTTGCGGTAAACACCCTCGCTCTACCTAGGACGACGTTTCACCATGCAATTGTATGTGTATGTTCAAAGCCACATGCGAGAGCAAGTAACGGTAGCGAAATAGCATGTTCACGACCAAAACTATTCTAACTACTGTCTACATTTGGCCAGGAGTTTTTTTTGGCTTGCGCTCTGTGCATCTACCTAGATCTGACATCGTGTTTTCAATGCAGAGACGTTCTCCTGCCAGCGCATACACTGTAGGGCAATGACAGGCCTGGTGACCTGTTACAAGAACAGAACGGCGAGGAAGGTCGCAAACGCCACGTTGTAGAACGCTACAGAGTAAAGGGTTACTCCAGCAGCAGTCACAACCGAATCTGGGGGGTATTTAGTTCCGGTCTTGCCTCCGTTTTGCACGGGTGTACCCTTGTCCACTCCAGATGGGGGAGGCTTCTGGTTATTGTTTCCGTTGTTTCCGTTGTTGCCAGGGGTGTCCTTAGACTTGTTGTTGCCTTCGCCCCCAGACTTGTTGTTGCCTTCACCTCCAGACTTGTGAGAAGCGCCACCATCATGCTGGTCCTCATCTTCGTCATCGCAAACCAGACCGGGTGTGGGAGTCGGCTTCACCACAAAGTGCTTGGCACCCGCCAAGTAATCAAGAGTGATCACAGTATCACTCCCAGGGCACCACGTTGTCGTTCTGGTGATGATTTCTGTAGTGACACCACCCAGGGGGCAATCATGGACAGTCGTGGGGCAAGCCGAGATGGTAGCGACCCTGGTTTCATACATCGTGGAAGTCAGCGTCGGATGACCTGTCATTCTTTCAGTCCCGGTGGCCGAAGTTGTCGAGTTTGACGGCCTTGTGGTGTGGCCTGTCTTGGAACTAGATGGATCCGCCCTCACACTACCAGTCTTTGTTAGCAGGCATTTCGAGAAAGGTTGCACATCTGATTCGATAAGAGCTTTCATCGATGCTGGAGGACACGAATGATCCAACACGCATCTCCGCCTCCATTCTTATCGCCGAGAACATGCATATCCACGCCCCATGACAAAAATGGCACCACTTACGCTGGCTTGCAACCGGTCAGGTCCGGAATGGCGTTAGGACCGCTGCCAAAGGTGACAACCTTGCCCTCGCAGTCCGCAGCCTGGGCCAAAGCAACTTGCTGGTTATCAAAATCGTAGCTGATGTACGCCGATTGGAAGAATGGGGCTGTTCGTTGTCCGTGTTAGCGAGCGCTGGCTCCCAAAGTGGTAGCTTCGACTTGCCTCCGAGCACCAACTGTCCCTTCGAGGTCACCAACACTCCCACGAAACAATGGTCACTGCCTTTTTCCAAGACTGCATCCTGGATGATGTCTTTGTATGGGATCTTAATCGTCGCTTCGCCGAACTTAAAGTCCCAACTTCCCGGTCCGTCTCGCAGAGAGCAGGGAGCAGTATACGCGTCCTTTCCATTGTTGACGGCGCCCATATCGCGTAGGAGAGGATCAGCAAATGCATGAGTCAGTCGCAGATATTGGTTAGAGGTGTCGAGCGTCAACGTGGAATGGTTGGGGTCGACGCTGTAAACCTCCTGCGCGCCGTTCGAGGTGGACTGGCCAAGGCCCGTGAGAACCAGGGAAGGTCTAGATAGAGAGCATCTCGGTCAGTAACTGATGGTTTTTGGAGGGTTCAAAATCCGGTCTGTCATATTCACTTACTCCCATGTGCCCAGTTCATCCTTCACCAAAGGTCGCTTGACAAGTTTGCCCTCGAACCGACCAGTATTGGCACCGCCGAAGAGGAGGCCAGCTATTGGCTAGGTCAATATGATACGCCGAAGCAAGGTTCCACCGTTGCCTACCTTTGGGATCGTCAAAGTCCCGCAGATCAAGACTATAGGTACGGCTGGCTATCGCTTTCTGGGCTGCCAAATTATCAAGGACACTGTTGAATGGCTTGCCTGCTTCATAGCCAAGATCACGGTCAGGACCAATACTAAAGGCACCGATGTCGCCCTCATGAGGTTTCGCAATTCCGAATCGCTGCTTGGGGATCGAAATCCCACCAATTGTCATGACGTCTTCATGCAAATCAAGGTGGAACTTCATCAAGCTGGGCGGGGTGACGGTCGGGTCTCCATAAACAACATCAACTGATCCCAAGGATCTGTTGGAGAACGTGATGGATTTCCGGGCATTGAATTCCAACGAAGGAACCCCTTGACGAAGTTAGTTACCGACTTCCCGAGGCATCACAGACCATACTCACAAGTTATATCAGACCTCGAATTGAGAAGAAGACCAACTTCCTGGGGCGGAGTTCCCACCTTGACGTTGATGCTGTAGAAACTCGCGCTGACATCATCGCCGTTGACTAAGGTCGCCTTGACGAACGTAGCTTCAACACCCCTAGGACCAACGTTTCTCGGGCCTTGCAGCTTGTCGGTAAACCCGAGAGGGGCGGGAGACCTAAGATTGCCAGGAACGGCCCCGGCCAAGCCCAGGATGGCGGCCAGAACTAGGCCGTGCAGTGAGGGATTCATTTGTCGAGCGAGTGGAATTTTTTTTTAAAAAAAGAATGTAGGAGGTTGGAGCGAATGGATGCTAAGACTAATACCAAGTACAGAGGGGACCACGCAACGAGAGCAAGGCTTTATAAGAAACTGGCGACGACTCTATTCATCCCAGTCAAATGTGACTCTGATTTCACAAGCTTTATGCTGAATTCTTGAGCATCTGTTGTGCTTCTCGTGTCTAGTCGCTGGCAAAGTTAATACTTGGGCGAGATTCCAACACCCTCGGATCCAACCTTAATAACTGTGCCTTACGACTTGTTTAGGACCTCATCGCATACCAGTGGCTTCCACAGAAAGTCTTTTTTGGTCTATAACGAGGAATTCCATCCCGGCAACAATCCCAAATGCTCTCGAAGTTAAATGTCGACCGCAAAGTTCTCCTTGCTGGCACGCACGACACCCTCTACAGGTGTCATGACTCGCCCCGGAACTGAGTACTACAGTATGTCGGCTTTGTTCGATGGGACTGTATAGACACATCATTCCGCTGTGCCCCTGACTAGTGTCGGATTTCTCTTCATTGTTTGGCCCGAGGGCCGATGTATGGGAGCCTCCCTGGCCTTATCACCAGAGCACTTGAACACATTGCGGAGGGGGCCGCCGTACCTCATGTGCCTCGGCGAACGCGGCTTGCTGACGACAGGCTCACAGTACAAATATAGGGAAAGACAGACAAACATAATAATCTCATTCAGACCCAACTCATCGGTACATGAAAAGTGCCAAATCTAAGCCAAACCCGAAATCATGCTCCACAGATCAAGTTCAACCTGTGAAACAAACGCTAGCCAAAACGCCACCAATACCCCCAAACCCTCCATCGTGTGCTCATGAAAGATTGGCCAACTGGCCGAATCTCATACATCGACCGTTATAATTCCCCGATTAGTTCCCTGTCGTCGCCGCTTCCACGTCGTCGCCCTTCGTGCTGTCGCTCTCCCAAACCTCAAAGCTCTCGCCAGTGCCCTCTACTGGCTGAAGCACAGCTGCCTTGGCAGCAAGAGTACCCGTCTTCTCCATCAATTCGTCAACTTCATTTGAAATCTCGACGACAGGCTGCGTTGACTCGACTTTCGGCTCCGTAGATAACTCGAATGTGCTAGGGCCTCGTACCGAGGCCTCTTGCTCATCATCCGCGGGAACAAATATGACCGAGCTCTCATCACAACCCAAAGCATAAAATGCAGCAGCATCCATCTCGCCGAGCGCTGTCCTCTGCTTCTCAATGACCATATCATCTTCTTGGCTGCGGCTCTGGCGTGCTGTCGTCTGACTGACATCGTCGGCCGGGGGCACGTTCTCCTTGTCGCGGCCTTCTGCGCGCTCGCGAGTGGCCTTGACCTCGCTCTCTTCATCGGAACTAATGTCGAGCACACAAGTTCCATGCTGTAGCATGTTGGTCATCTCCTGCTCAGGGGTATCTTCGTGAATATCGAAGAACCATGATGCCTTCATGTCAGGCTCGAGAAGATCTTTGGTAACCGTGGCCCTGGGCGATACGACGACGGGTGTGGTCAGAGATTGCGCAGAAATGGGCGAGCGCGCGGCGTAGCTGGGAATGGTGCCCTTGAGGGCAGCATCGAGGCTGAAGGGAGCAGCGGCGGAGAGGTTGAAGAGGGGCGGGTCCACACGGGTGTAAGGACCAGCAGTCCGACGTCGGCTAGACAAAATGCCACTGCGCTTGCTGCGCGTCGGAGAGCGACCAGCCGGTGCGGAGAAGGGAGAGGACTTGGCGATGGCCGTGTTGAGTTTTGCGGCTGGAGACTTGGGCTGGAGCAGAGCACGAGCACGGGTAGACGCCAAAGGGGTGGCCTTGGTGGAGCTGCGGAAGGTCGAGCTCTGGTTCAGAGGCGTGGAAGCTTTCAGGATGTAGGCAGTAGGCTTAAGAAGATCTTTGGCAGGGTACGAGATGCTGGAAGCCTTGGAACGTTTAGAGAAGAGGGAGGGGTCGATGTTTTCAGAGTCGTCGTTCTCGACCACATCAGCGGCCTTGCGCTTGGCGCCCGAAGCTTGTGGAAGAGCTGGTCTGAAGTTAGTGACGGATGGACGTATCGGCCTACACGAATCATACCATTCTGGCGGTTCTTCAGACTACCCAAGTTCTGGAGTCGGGCTCCGTCGAGAGGTGCAAATGGCTGGCGGGAGAGAGTAGCCATGGCGATCGTGGTGGGGGCACGTCTTGTAATTTTGATTTGCGAAGCGATAACAAGTTGTAGCGGATGAAGAGACGATGACACCAGGTCGAATGGACTCGCTTTTGAGGGGCAATCGATTGCTGTTGAGGGCGTTGCCACCAAGAAGCGATGAGGATACCGGCTCCCTTCACCGATAAAAGGAGGTGTGCTGATGTCCAAGGGGAGACAGTGACACGATAGAGTCGGCAATGGTTTGTTTGTTATTGCCTCGAGGGTTGATGCTCAGGGCAAGGTGCAAGAGAACGAAGCTTGCAGGAACAATGAATGATTGAGGAGGGGACAGCGAGGGACAAAAGGGAGTAGAAGTGGTGTGCGCAGGGAGAGGGAGCGAGACAAGGCCGGACCAGAAAGGGGATCAGCGGGCTTGGGTGGGCTGTCTTGGAACCAGTTCAGCGCGCGTGGTCACTGAGACGGGTCGGGTCGATGGCGCAGGCCTCAGAAGATGGATTTGGACCTGTTGGAGAGGAGTCGTGAGTTTCGATTGCTGCTGCTGGTGCTGCGGTCGTCTGGTGTGTTTGAAGCTTGCGCTTCACCTAGGTTCTCAGGAAGAGGGGCAAGCAGGAACAGTAGATACACAACCGATGCTGAGACGGTTGAAGACGCAGGGCAGACGCAGGAGATGGACGATTGATCGGGTGGATCGATGAGCGAGGAAGGGAAATAATGTGCGCTGGGCGAGTTGGTCGAGCTGAATTGAGAAGTGCCTCGATGAAAGTGCAGTTGTGGGTGGTGATTTGCTGTGCTGTGGCGACTGGTGAGACTTGGGGAGCGGACATGCATCTGCGGCCTGGCAGGTTGTTGCTGATGATTACTGCCAAGGACCAATCGTCGCGTTGAGTTGGAGGGGACGAGCGCCAACGGGGAGCCAATGACAGCCAGACTTCCGCGTCGTGTTCCTGGCGCAGGAGCGTACCACTTTGCGCGTTGAAATGGCGTTCACCCCACTTTTTCCCTACTACCCACGCGCGACGATAAAGGGGGGAGCCTGCCCTTGATTCCCGCCAGCGGCTTCCCCGTGCGTGTTCGTGTTGGCGTCGCGGTCGTGATGCCCAGGCGTGCTTGCGCATGAAGGTAGTGGTGTGGAAGTCGCGACCCCCCCCCCCCCCCCCGCCATGAGAGGGCCCTACCTGCCTCACAGAACCACCCAGTCGCTACTGACGTCCCGGCACATCCCGGCCCTCACAATCTCTCACCGAACCTCGCAGTCTCACATAAGGAAGAAGCCATCTCCTACCTGCTACGCTGAGCACTTTACCTGACGCCTGTCTCTCTGGTATCTGTCTACTCACCGACTCTTCCGTTGCCCAGAATGCCTTTGACTACCTCTATTGCGTCGTCGGCCTGCGTCATCACAGCTGACGACTTGTGCCCCAGCGGCATGTCTCACGGTTCTGACTGACCACATCACATTCCTCCCATCACCGGCCACCCCGACTCAGCCTGGGAAAAGTAGCAGAAGGTGCCAGCAGAACGGACCCTCCAAGTGAACTCTCCACAGATATGCCTTGCCGCAGACCACGACGTGTTCCCATTGACTGGCTTCGCGGGTGGTCAACTGGCCCGGGGCCAGCCCGCTGGCCTCCTGGCCGGCCTTGTCGAGGCCTAGACAGATGAGCAGAGGTGATGATTTCATCCGCCTGGTATGAGACGTCATCCCTTTTCCCGCACCCTCACCTCCCACAGGCGCTCTCCTGACCGATCTACGCGACTCGAGTACTGCCCCCTTCGCCCTTGGCCAGCCACCTCATCCATGTCGCCTCCAGCGCCTTGAGCCAACAAGTTTGCCCATCGGCCAGCGCTGGTATGGCTGATCACACGATTGGCCTCTCGCAAGGACGATAGCCGCCTGTAGAAGCTTGGCCATCCATCTGTGGCCTGACACTGCTGCTGGGCGTCAGATTCTTGAGTCGCCTACTTGATCACTTGACAAAAACCTGTTCGATAACGTAAGAGCGTCACGGGGTTTGTTCTGTTCTGTCCCATACACATTGGGACCCAGGATCTACGTTCCGGCCGAGTGCGCTCCTTTTCGTGCGTACAATGCCTGTGGATCCGGCCGGCTGGACCGACGGGAGTGGGCTTGGCATTTGTCCGCCCCTCCGATATGGCCATGAACGATAGTGCACGCCTGATTCTGATATTGCCCCTGAGCAACGCGACTCGGGCAGTTACCGTTCGTCAGAACAGACGAACCATGCCTGTCTGGGTAGCGCGGGATATGACCTCTCTTTTGAGATTTTTCCGTCCCCCAGGTATCCTTGTTTCATATTTTGGCACATGTGCCTATGTCAGCCACGGAAAGATTTTCAGACCGAAAGCAAGGGACCTGTCTTGAACGGTCCGTGACCCTTCTGCTTGCTGTTGTTTTTGGACTTCGGGCTTTGCGCCCGGCGGGAAAACCATCGCGCTGTATCATCGAATACAGATTTGCACTCAGAACAACCCCATGTTGCTAGCTGAAAGCATGTGCTCCCGTGGCGAATCGGCTTCAAGCAGACCTATGAATCGTGCATCGCACGCGAAAGCTTCCCCGGACGGCAGATAGCTGCCATGTCCACGAACCCAACAACTCTAAAGGTAAACATATTTTCGTCCTATCAGCGAATTTGCGTGTGATAGGTGCAAACTCAAGTCTGGCTTTCCGCGCGACATCGTGGTCTAGCTAGTTTGGGAAGGATCGACTTACGATGAGAAAGACGTGGCACTGCTGAGACCGGAAGGGCATCTCACGAGAGGATCCCAACACAGTCGTGGTGCAACCCCAAAAAGGAGCTTCATAGCACGAGATCGCACGCTAATCGTAATGATTGCCCTGATTTTTATCGGCGGTTTTAGGGAAATCACCACTACTGGCGCAAAATCAAACAACTGAAGGTTGTTGACTGGCGTCCATTGATGAGCACTGCAATACGACCTACTAGCGTAGGCCTGGGTGGACGGAAACAAATAGTTCCACGGGAGAATCGGTTTCGTTGCTTCAGAATAATTAAGATTCGGTTAGTCGGCACCAGACGGTGCCAACGATTCAGTTCTACGCACAATTCAGGCACGGAGTCTGGGGGGACGGCGCCGGCAGACGGGAGGGGCAAACGCCAGGGGTTTCGGCGCGCCGGCATCGTCAACAAGCATCTATCAAGCACTGGGCGACGACTTGAGGATGTCCGTCATTATCAGGAGGCGATGTGACAGGCCAGAGCTCGTGGCTCTGCATCCACAGCTGAAATGCGCCCCAGGTTTTCGCGCCATTATAGCCCCAGTCTTCGTTGTCTACTCAACGCATGACCCTATGCAATCCCCGTCGGACCCAGCTGTTCGGCTACCGGCACGCCGTCTCCTATGTGATGCGGCTCAAAACTGCAGTGCCAAAGGGTTGTGTCGCTCGAGGAGGTTAGGCAAACGCGCGGCCCAAGACCGGGGGCTACGGGGGTACCTAGTCCTCCAATGTTCTGGGCTTTCAGGCCCGTCGACATCAGCCCTATCCTGATTCAGACAGTTGCCCGGCTCACCTCCACACCTCACCCTGAGCTTGACGGCAATCTCATATCGCCAACCCGACTTAGTCGACGATGAGTGAACTGCAATACTCGAAGAATCTACAAAAGGGCGGCCAGGCGGCCATGGACTACCTTCTGTCTTCTTTCTTGGCATCGACTCCTCATCAGTCTATCCAGCTACTTCATTCTTTACATACTTTTCTGTTTGACATATTCATTTTCATCTTCGCTGCACCATATTTACATACGCAACAACTCGTACATACTCGTCTTCCCGTTTGATACGATACCCACATCCACTCTTTCTCTTTAACCAAAATGCTTACCAACGTCATCCTCGCTCTTGGAGCCCTGGCTTCCACCGCCACTGCCAACCCTCTTCCCGCCAAGTTTGAGGTCATCGAGGCTCGTGCCACCGCTTGCACTTTCACTAACACCGCTGATCTTGCCAAGAGCAAGAAGACGTGTGACTCAATTACCCTCAACAACATTGCTGTCCCCGCGGGCACCACTCTAGACCTTTCCAGCCTCAAGAGCGGCGCCCACGTCGTTTTCCAGGGCAAGACTACCTTCGGCTACAAGGAGTGGGAAGGACCTCTTATCCAGATCTCTGGCGAGAAGATCACCGTCGAAGGTGCCTCCGGCCACATCATTGACGCCGATGGCGCCCGCTGGTGGGATGGCCAGGGTGGCAACGGCGGCAAGACCAAGCCCAAGCTGCTTGCCGTTAAGGGCCTCAACAACTCGATCGTGAAGGGCCTCAACTTCAAGGACCAGCCCGTGCATGGAATCAGTGTCAACACGGTGAACAACCTTCAGCTCATCGACGTGACCCTCGACGCCTCGGCCGGCGACTCCAAGGGTGGCCACAACACTGACGGCTTCGATGTCGGTAACGCCCAGAACATTCTCATCTCCGGCGCCATTGTGAAGAACCAAGACGACTGTCTTGCTATCAACTCTGGCACCAACATCACCTTCACTGGAGGCAACTGCAGCGGCGGTCACGGCCTCTCCATCGGCTCTGTTGGCAACCGTTCTAACAACGTAGTCAAGACAATCCGCATCAACAACAGCAAAATTTCCAACTCTGACAACGGTGTCCGTATCAAGACCATCTCCGGCGCCACCGGCTCCGTCTCGGACGTCATCTACGACACCATCACCCTGTCCAACATTGCCAAGAACGGCATCGTCATCGAGCAGGACTACGAGAACGGCTCCCCTACCGGTACCCCTACCGCTGGTGTCCCCATCACCGGCCTCACCATCAACAAGGTTGTTGGTACCGTTGCCTCCAAGGGCACCAACGTCTACATTCTCTGCGCTAAGGGTGCGTGCTCCAACTGGAAGTGGAGTGGCGTCAACGTTACTGGCGGTGGCAAGCCCAAGAGCTGCCAGAACGTCCCCAGCCCTGCCGCGTGCTCTTGAAGGGATTCCTCTTTAGCGTTTATGACCACGACAAGCTAGCTCTTAGTGATTTTTTCTTCGCTTGAATATTGTCCAGAATATACCGTGGCCTGGGCTGCCAGCGGGTTTCTTAAAGTGAGAGTCCTTTCTTCGTGTCCCGTGCCCATGTGATTGTGACCAACAGGTTTTGCTCGATGGTCGGACAATCGGCGGGATTACTATGCAGTGTCCCACGGTTGACTGGTGCAAACAGAGCTGTATGGGTCTGTGCTGCGTGCACGGCAGTTACGAAATATGCAAGAGTCCACAGAGGGGCGGCGTGAGATGACCGACGTTCTACCACCATGGAACATAAATTTGACAAGAGGCGAACACTGACTTTCAAAACGCGAGAAGGGTGCATGTAGATTGATGAGCCGTGAAGAAACGCCCGCTGCTGACCACTGTCTTTCTGCCTCCACGGGTATGTATGAGCAGCTATGTGTTTTTGAGTGTGGTGCAGGGCTGAAACGACTAACAAATATCACATCTCTTATTCAATCAGGTTCGATAATGAGAGCCCAGTAATCATATTGCAATCTTGCTGCTCAAGTCTTGCCTTCGAAAACGAAAGATCGATCCAATAGCAGTTCACGTCAACCTACGAAGAATGCCTGCCATTCAAGCCGAACAACCATCGCAGGAGAATCCCAAAACAATCGGGATGGTCGTGGGAGTCGCAATGGGGGGACTTTTAGCCATTAGCGTGGCCATATTGCTCTGGGTCTGTTTCCTCCAACGATCTCCATGGGGCGCTTCCATGGTTTCGCTGAGAACTCGAGCCC